GAAAACTTCCCTAACCTGGTGAAGGAAATCGACATACAAGCCCAGGAAGTGCAGAGAGTTCCAAACAAGCTGAACCCAAAGAGGTCCACACCAAGATACATCACAGTTAAAATGCCAAAGGTTAAAGACAAAGAGAGAATCTTAAAAGCAACAAAAGAAAAGCAGCTGGTTACCTACAAGGGAGCTCCCATAAGACTGGCAGCTGATTTCTTAACAGAAACTTTGCAGGCCTTAGGGATTGGCACAAAATATTCAAAGTGATGAAAAGCAACGACATACAACCAAGATATCTCTATCCAGCAAAACTATAATTTAGAATCGAAGGACAGATAAAGCACTTCCCAGACAAGAAAAAGCTGAAGGAGTTCATCACCACCAATTCAGTATTACAAGGAATCTTAGAGGGACTTCTTTAAGATGGGAGGGGAGTTAAGGATGGGTGAAATACAAATTGGTTGTTATACAGTAGTCATGGGGATGTAGGGTATAGCATAAAAAATATATCAATAATATTGTAATAGCTAGGTATGGTGCCAGATGGGTACTAAATCTATCAGGGTGATACATGGGAATGGGTTTGGGGGCAGGGTGAAAAAGGTGAAGGCATTAAGAGATACAAATTGGTAGTTTAAATCAAGTATGGTAAATATAATCAACAATGTTGTAAAGATCATGTAGGGTGCCAGATGGGCACTGGACTTATCAGGGGAATCACATCATAGACGGTGTAGATGACTGATCAATGTGCTATACACCTGAAGCTGAAGTAGAATAATATTGAACGTCAACTATAACTAAATATATAGGTATATATAGTCATGGGATGTAGAGTACAACACAGGAAAGACAATCAATGGTATTGTAATGGATATATAAGATGTCAGATGGGTAGTAGCTTGGGGGGGGGGTGGGTTATCACTTTATGAGAGGTTTAAATGTCTATTACGTTACTTTGTATACCTGAAACTAATAAAAAAAATAAATTAAAAAAGTTAAATAATGTAGATAAAATTTAAAAAGGTAAAAACGAATCTATCAGCATATTCTATGACTTACTGGTTTTACCCTAAAGCATCATTAGCAAAGGAAGAAAGAGGGCAGAGCAGCCTCCCTTTTCTTCATCCTGGCCCTAAGCAGCCCTGTTACTGAAGACCCCACTTTGGAGTCCGGGGTTTGGGGGAATGGGAGACATTTCAGTTGATAGTAGAAATGTAGAAAAAGGAAGTTTTAGGTGTCCTGAATATGATGATTATTTTAGGTGTCCTGAGTATGATGATTATGTTTATATTAAAATGAGATAAAATTAATTTACTTAACTTTACCTGATTTCTTTGCTTTAGTATTAATTATATAAATCTTTCTGATTGCAATATTTTAATTCAATTTGTACAAGTACTTTTTTTCTTTTTCACTTTCCTAGCTACTCCACTTTCTTTAGTCAAATGGAATGAGGGGCTATTTACTTTCAAAATAAATTCGTCCTGCCTTATTTTCCTTTTAAACTTTGTACTATTCCTTGGAATAACAGCAAAAAAAACACTATTCTGTTAAACGAAATGTCATATTTTCTCTTTTCAAATGTCTATATTAAAATCTTAAATTAGAAAACACTATACAATAAAAATCTATACGCATAAAAATAGAAATGAAGACTTGATTTTAAAAAGATTTATTAACATGGATACCCTAAGAGATACCAATATACACATACCTTTTGACATAAATTCAGTAACAATGTAAATTGGCTCTTCAGAAACAACAGCATATAGTGGAACAAGTTTATCATGTCTTAATTTTTTCATTATCTGAGCCTCTTGAAGAAAAGCTTCTGGCATCATTGTACCTGGTTTTAGTGTTTTGATCGCTACTTTTGTGGTTCCATTCCATGTTCCTAGAGAAACAACACTTTTACTATTTTAATCCACACTTGAAGAGAATTTAAACCAAACTCAATGAACAGTAGTTACCTTACATATTTCAACATAGCTTACCATATATTGTGGCATTTTAATCTATGGCTAAACAATGTCAAAAAAATAGTTCAGGCTTCTTACCCATCCACACTTCACCAAAACATCCTTGTCCTAGTTTAACTTCTAGTCGCAAAGATTCTCGAGGGATTTCCCAAGCATCTTTTGCTAGACCTTGAGTCTGGGGTTTCACAGTTGGACATACAGTTGTTAACTTATGGCATAACCCATCAGCGTGTTCTAGATAAATGAATAAACTACACTGTAAAATGAATTTACAAAAATTAAGGTACATATAGTACATTTTAAGAAGTTTAAACTATAGAAAATCAAAACAAAAACATAATGTTCTATCAGTTTTTTCATAAAAGCACAAATGCAAAAAGGGAGTTGTATATATAAAGCAAAATATAAAAGAAATGAAACATTTTGTTAATTACATTTTAAAAGTTATTATTTATTGAATACTTGTTATGTCTCAGCCATTGCGCTAATTCAGCACTTTATGGATAGATCATATGAGTCTTGGAAAATTAAACAACTTTCTCAAGGTCACCCAGTTATTAACTGATAGAGATGGGATTCAAATCCTAGGTCTGGCTGCCTCCAAAGTTCTGCTTTTGACCACTGTGCTTTATTTCTTCACAAAGAGAATGTTACCATTGTTATTTCTAATAACCACTAATGTAAGAGGTATACCAAAAAATCAAGGAAAAACTTCATTTAGGGGACTGACTTTTAAATCAGGGAGATGCAAAAACAGGGAATCCCAAATTCATAATCGCTTGCCTTGTGAATCCTGCTTATACAATCTTTCTTACTGTGAATAAGACAAGTTCCCTCCCATTTTCAACAAGGAACCACAAAAACCCACATTCTAACAAGTACAATTACAACTGATGCCACTGCTTGGCAACATATTTGATCAATGTCAACATTGGTGGCTGACTTGACAGACTCGGTTTGCAGCTAGCTGTCACTGAAGAAAAAATTGCCATGGAAACTTCCTCTCTCCTAGTATTAATCATTTAAAGAATTGAAGATACATTCATGTATCCAATTGGCAATGAAAAATTTTGAGACAGAAGACTTTAGTATTGAATACCTTTCAAAGGCCCTTGAAAGTCTGAAGAATGTCTATAATTGCTACAAGTTAATTTTCCAGGAAAAGAAAAATGTATCTTCATTGGATTTATTTTATTTAATAAATAAATCTCATTTGGATTTATTCTTAAGAAGTCTTATATAGCCCAGCCCATGCAGGGGAAGGTAAACCAAAAAGACATCTGATGTAGCTTTTAAACAGCTTTATCTACTTAAGTGTCCCTAAATAGGGACTCAAATGATGATAATCTGGTTTTAACACATCATCCAAGAATCCAATTCAGGTAATAAGTATTACCAATTCCTCATTTAAAAACTAGACTATAACAGACATCTAGTGAGAACATACTGTGTATAAAGTAGCGTGCTAAACCTTAAGAGACATGAAACTTGGATTATGTCCTTATAAATAGAACATGAGGAAACAATTTTCACCTTTGAAATAGTCGCATACCTGTGTAGTGTTTTACCAATTTCTGCAGAGTCTCAAATGGTGCTCTGGTTGTGATATAGTATCCACCATTGTCAAGTTTCCTAATTTTGTAGTGTTTCACATTGTCACCCTTTACTTCATCCCAGTCACGAATAGAGAGAGAATAAGCACCTGGTGGGAGGAGGAGGGAATGAAACCTTTTATTTTATCTTTCTCAAAGTGGTGCCTAAGAAAATGTTTATACTTATATTAACATAACAATATTTATACCTTTAGTAGTTTCACTCTCTCTTACTAAGAAAATACCTCGTTGATTCCCAGGATTCAGAAGTAATCTTTCAGCATCTTTTCTCCCCATTTTGCCAAAATACCATCTGGAAAAAAAGAATAGTGTTCTGAGTTAGAGAGGTATAAAGGTAAGAAAAATTATATGTAAGTATTAATAAGAATGGAGTGGGATAGAGAGGATGAAAAAGCACAGCTATAGAACATAGCTTAAAAATATATAGTAAAACACAACCAAGGCTCTTTACTAAATAGGAATGTTATAAATATTACTGTTAGAAGTATTTCTGTCACAGTATCTCCATGTATTGACTACTCAACATGTCTCTTAAACTCCACCTGACAGTCACTGGAACACTGGAATGGTAGTAAATGGAGAAGGAAAAGCAACAATGACAAACAGAACCTTTCAGTCAGTGACAGATGGAAAAATAAAAGTGGTTCTCAGGCAACAGTGTGATCATCTGTATTCAGCAGGATGCAAGTAAACCATATCCAAATTATTAGGAACTCTAAATTAGTTTAATACAGTTCTGTGAATAAAATGACAGTTTCTGTTGTAGAGGAGCTCACAAAACAGCAGAGAAAAAAGATAAAAAGACAAACAGAAAGTAACAAGTGCCTAAGCAGAACAGAGCTATGGGACAAATTACATATCATCAATAAAAGCAAACAATCATTGACAGAATACCTATTACATCCAACATACTGTGTTAAGTATGTGAAAACAAAGTTGCACTTATGGGTCACAGATAAACTTGGTTTGATCTAAAAGTAATATGTCATTGAAGGTGAACTTGAACTTTGTAAAAGTTGCAAGAATAGCAGACAGAACTCCCATATACCCTCTACCCAGGTTTCCCAACTGGTAACATTTTGCTTTGTCACAGTCTGGCTTTCCCTGTGTATGTATGTGTAGGTGTGCGTGTATATTATTTTCTGAACTGATTGAGTAAGTTGCAAATACGCTGAATCATTATCCCTAAATACTTCCTAAGAGACAAGGATACTCTCTTACAGAGGAGCAAGCACCTAAATCAAGAAATTAACATTGATATAATACTATCAGAGGATAAATTTTTGAAGTAAGTATGCAGAATACAAAAAGGGTTAATACAAATTTTTTAAAGTGGAACGATAAAGGCATAACGTAGTATTAATGCAGATTTATGATTCTACTGTTAAGTGAATACTATGGCATTAATTATTAATTTTCAAGTAACATCCTCTGTTAATATGATACATTAGTTTTATTAAGACTGATATGTAATTGTGTGTGTAAAGTTGTGGCTAAGTAGAATGTGCATTAAAACATTTTAAAAATGAAAACAATTAATAAAATATGAAGTAGCACCATACTCTTCTGCCTGAATGGAATCTGCAGGGGCTACATAATTGCTAGGGATGTAGCCATTCTTTCCTGTAGCAATCGATCTTGCTTCCCACCAGTCTCCTTCCCTGCAACACATAAAACAACAATCACCACAGGGAGACTACGGCTCACGGCGCCACCAAGCCAGGTCTTGTATCTGAAGCAAGACAGGAGATATTTCTTCCATTTTATATTTATGCATTAATTTGATTAAAAATCAAACTCAAGGTATACTAAAAAACAGATTTTATGAATTAAGGAAATACGACTAAGCAAAAGCACAACTGCATTTCTGCTCCACACCAAACAAAAAAATTATCCTTTAATTTTAGTTATAAGATCATTTTTACATAACTTTTTCAATCTAGGACAATAAACTATACTGACAGGAGGTAAATCTTTCAAATTACTTCGTTTTGACTGTTTTCTTTTTTAAAAGCTTTATATGAGGTATAATTTACATACCATAAAATCCCCCCATTTAAGATGTACAATTTAGTGGGTTTTACTATATTCAGAGTTGTGCAACCACTACCACAATCAATTTTAGAACATTTTCATCACCCTCAAAAAAAAAACCCATACCCATTAACAGCCACTCCCCACCCCCCCTCCTACCCCCACCATTGCCAACCATTAATCTGCTTTCTGTACCTATTGCGGACATTTCATATAAATGGAATCATACAATACATGGCCTTTTTGACTGGCTTCTTTCACTTAGCATACTTTTTTCAAGGTTCATTTATTTTGCTCCATGTATCAGTAGTTCATTCTTTTTTTATTGCCAAATGCTTTTATTTGTTTGTTGTTATTTATTTTTTTTAGCTGAGCCATCCTGCCACCTGTTGGCAGCTCAGCGGCAGCTCGGCTCGGGCTGGGAATCGAACCAGCGACCTTGTTGCTCATAGCTCGCACTCTTGAGCAAGCTCTTAACTAACTGAGCCACTCAGCCGGCCTTAAATGCTTTTGTTTTTTTCTTTTCTTTTTTTAAAAGATTTTATTGGGGAATTGGGGGAGGGGAACAGACAAGCCACTGTCCTTTTGTTCTTCAGTCCAGTTGTGGAGGACGTCGCTTCACTGGCCCATGTTGGTATCATTATTGTGCTCTTCCTGGGTGAGGCAGATCAGTTGCTGGCCACTGGATAGCCACTCACCACGGCTCTTGGCAGTTCACACCAGCTGCTGGCTGCTCAAGCTGGCTGCCAGCCACTCAGGGTAGCTTATGGCAGTCCATTGCAGCTCCCCTGCAGCCTACACCATCGCCGGCGACTCAGGGCAGCCCAGCTCCAGGTCAAGCTGTTGTTCACTATCCTAGCTGTAGAGGGCACAGCGTCACTGGCCCTCATGTGGGATCCGAACTGGAGCCCTGCTGCTCAGAGCTGGTGTCCCAAGCCAACTCTTAACCAACACGCCACTTGGCTGGCCCAAAATGCTTTTCTTTTAAACAATGCATAAAACTATAATGTTCCTTTTTAGTCATTTTAGGAAAAAAATCAGGATACCCTAGAGCTCCTGTTATATTGGCCAAAATATTACCAATGGGCAATAACAGTAAAAAAATTTATTATTGGAATAAAGTATATGCAAAATAAAGTATATATAAAAAATGTTATCCTAAATATCCAAATAAGACTAAAAGCAATTTAGAACATATGAACTATATGTAGTTTGTAATACATAAGGCTTGACTTTTCTAAAATTAATGTGAAAGGAGCAAATATTATCAGTCTCTAATGAGGGAGATATATATGGATTCCGCTACTAAAAATTTAAATTTGTTTTGCTTTACCAGAGAGAAGTACTGATAATACTTTATCTAAATTAAAATTTTATAAATGCTTGAGGTGCATTTGCTTTCTAGAAAATGAAGTGAAAATCCTTTCGTAATTCAAGTATTTACAAACTCTTGGTTTGTAGTTTCCTGGTATATATTAAGTGCTTTCAGATACACAAACTGAATATTTTGCATTTGATCCTGCTAACCATTCACTGATTGATTCAAATATTTACTGAATACCTTTTAAGTGACAGATTTTATGACAGGTGTGCTGGAAACAGGGTAAAAAGACAGTCCTTACCCTCAAGAAACACAGTTTAGAGCAGAATTTCTCAACCTTGGCACTATTGACACCTTAGGCTACATAATTATCTGGTGGGGGCGGGGAGTGGCGGGGGCTGTCCTGTGCATTGCAGGATGCTGAGCAGTATCCCTGGCCTCTACCCACTAGATCACAGTAGCAGCACCCTTGCTGTAACAACCAAAAATGTCACCAGACATTGCCAAATACCCCCTGGGCGTTTTTGCCTCAGGTCGAGAACCACTTGTCTAAAAGAATGATAAACATGTGATAAATTATAATTCAAAATTGGGATGGCAGCTATTACTGAGGTTTGCACAGGTTACTGTCAACATGTAAGAAAGATACTTAATCCAGCAGGAGGTGGAACTGGGCCAGGTGGGAGAGGAAGAATGTCAAGAAAGGCTTCCTAGAGAAAGGACATACGAATATACATTTTGAAGGATGAGTTCAGTTGGCCAGGTAAAGGGGAAAAAATGGGGAGACAAGAAATCACATTCCAGAAAAAAGAAGTTGTATGTGTGAAGGCATGGAAAAGGTGAGAAACCAGTGTATTCAGAAAACTGCAAGTAATTCAAGATGGTTGGGCAGTGGAGTAAGAAACGGGAAGAAGCTCGATGAATGATGCCTACTATTGTTGTTTTTCCTTATCTTGATGGCAACTGGTAGCTACTGAAGCGTTTTAAAACAGAGAGACATGAACATATTTTGTTCTGGAACAATAACTGGCAGCAAATGGAAATAAGAATGGAAGGAAACATGACTGGAAGCAAGGAGACCATAAATATATATTTTGAGAAGATACAAAGTGGTTGCTGTGCCTAATGAAATTATGGGATCTATTTTCCATAATGAGCATTGAATTTGCTATGGTGCGTCACTAAATGACAAAAAGTCTAAGAGTCACATAAGGAAAAAGCAACTTAATTTAGTCAATTTGATATTGCAGGGATTCTTTAGCCTTTTACTTTTTTTTTTTTAAGAGAAAGAGATAAGATCTTTAAATCATCTAGTACTCAGATAAACAGAATTTTCTTTATAAAGATCTTTTTTTTAAGTAATGTTACTTACTTATACTCCCTCAGTCTTCATTCTTAAATCTCTGTTTATGGCAGAACCACGGAAACACAATTTGTAGAAGTAACTTCTGGCTACATCAGTAGTATTCTGCCACGTGTCTAAAGAAACCAAAGGCATCATCCAACCCAGTAGTAGGCAGAGATCCATGCCCCGCCACGCTCATCTCTGAATCAGCAACTAGCTCAGGGGTTGGCAAACTTTTGAAACAGAAGAGCCGCCAGGGGTCAGCAAACTGCGGCTTGCGAGCCACATGCGGCTCTTTGGTTACGTACATGTGGCTCTGAAGTAAGATTGAAAATGAAAATAAAACTATCATAGCTTCATGTATAAAAATTTTAAAGGATATTATTCACATAATGGTGATTATGTAAAAATATATTTATGGCTCTCGAATAATTTTTAAATTGTTGTGAGGGACAGGATTGGCTCTTCTAGGGGTTGGCAAACTTTTGAGACGGAACGTACCCAAAGAGCTGCATGTGGCTCGCGAGTGGCAGTTTGCCGACCCCTGAACTAGCTAATGGTTTCAGTGTAAAGAGTAGGTTACTGTCAGTATTTCTCATTCACAACACTTACGTATTGTTAATTATTTGAAATCTTTCACCCTTCTTAAATGAAAGGTCTTCTGTAGTTCTAGCTTCATAATCATATAAGGCCACAAATATAGTAACACCACCTATTGGAGGAAAAAAGACCAAGGTAAATTATATAGATAAATTAACAAAAGAAAAATAAAAAACCACTGCCAGCAAAAAAGACTTAAGCATTGTTTTTTTCCTAGTTTCCAGAATCTATTTTTAAAAGTTGGAGATTTGGGCAGTTGGCATTTTCAAGTTAACAAGATGCTCTCTTAAGACCTTCTATGCAAGTACTATACTCTACAAATTCTAAAATTCTGCAGACCCAGAGAAACAAATTTAATTTTGATTCATAGTAGCAACATCTCTGGCTTGGAAGCCAGTCAATGTTCAAATCAATTCTTTAACAGAAAAAGCATAAACTACTAACACTGTCTAAACTTCTTATAAATAATGAGCGAACATTTTATTCTTAAGACTAATCATAATCATTAACAGTAATAACTAGGGTTTTACTAAGACAATTTATTATGTTTAACATTCAAATATAAAAACATGTTTTTCTTAGAAATTAAATGGTATGGCTGATAGGAATTACAAATTCCAAAATAACTGTGTCATATATAGCAATGTGTGTAGATACTTAAGAGATTAGCACACTTAAACAGCCAAACTATTATCGGCACACAAAAGAAAGAATAAAACAGATTATCTCATTTATCTGGCTTCTACGAGTTCCAGTCATATATTAACTACCTATCTGACATCTCTACTTGAATGTCTAACAAGCATTTAAAACATATTACATACTACAAAACAAAGGTGTTGATTTTTCTCCTCTAACCTGTTATCTAAGTCTTGCCTACCTAAGCCAATGGCACTACCAACCAATCAGGTGCTCAAGCCAACCCATGACCAGTACTGTCAGTTCTACCTCTAAAATATCTACTTTCTTTTCCATTTCTACTGCTGCCACCCTAATCCAAGTTCTTGCTGTCTTTCACTGGGACTGTTCGGTCTACTGAGAGTAGTAGCCTCCTGACCTATTTCTGTATCAGCTTCCCTACATCCGCTCTCCACACAGCTGCCAGAATGAGTTGGGTTTGTTTTTTTTTAATGAAATTCAATCATGCAAATCCTTTACTAATATCTCTTCAATGGCATCTTTTTGACTTTGAATAAAACCTAAACTTCTTACCAGAGTCTATGAGGTCCTGAGTAATCCTGACTCTTCAATCCCACATCATACAATTCTACCCGTTGCCTATACTGACCTCCTGACTAGTCCTCAAAAACTGCCAAGTCCATCTGTACCTCCTAACTTTGTATTTGTTATTCTTGGTCCCCAAAAAGCTCTTTTCCCAGTTCTGCCTATGTTTAAGTCATTCCCATTAACCAAACCTCAGCTCAAATAATTTCTTCTCAAGTTGCCTTTCCTGGATCATCTAAAGCAGGGGTTGGCAAATTTTGAGATGAAAGAGCCGCCAGGGGTCAGCAAACTGCGGCTCGCGAGCCACAGGTTCTGAAGAAAATTGAAAATGAAAATAAAACGATCATAGTTTCATTTATAAATTTTTTAAAGGATATTATTCACATAATGGTGATTATATAAAAATATCTTTATGGCTCTCAAATAATTTTTAAATTGTTGTGAGGGACAGGATTGGCTCTTCCAGGGGTTGACAAGCTTTTGAGACGGAATGTACCCAAAGAGCCGCATGTGGCTCGTGAGCCACAGATTGCCAACCCCTGATCTAAAGGGCCTTCACCAATCTACTGGTTAGTTCGTTCATAGCACTTAAGAACCATTAATCATACTGCTTAGCTGTTTATATCATTATTGTCCAACCCTCACTCTAATGTAAACTCCATTAGAGCAGAAACCTTGTTTTTCTTGCTGATAACTATACCTGGCAGACACTCCCTATTTATTAATAAATGAATACCTGTGAACAGACTATTTCACATAAACTGCTTCAGGTAACTAAAGTGTGTCTTAAAGCATAATATTTACTTTAACCATTTGGGATTAATATCTTTCCCAAATATAGAATCCTGAAAATTTAAACTTTTGCTGATGACTGAGAAATACCATCAAGGGCATCTATTACTAAGTATTTAGAGTTAGGGGGTTGGAGTTAAGATTGTAATTGACTCTTTGAGGTCCATAACTCCCCAAATGAACAGTGTAATAGAATTAGTATATGACATTCCTCTGTGCATTATTATTGGTCAAGAAGTGAGCAGACTAAAGGGACAAATTTACAGTCCATGCTTGTAGAAGAGATTTCTCTTTTGTCCCCATTGTTGGTTAGTATGGCCACATGTTGCTCAATTTGATGCTGGCAGCTGTTTTGTCAAGTCTAAAGATAAAGTGGACACTCCAAGGGCTGCAAGAAAGAGATCAAAGAAACTTGAGTTGTTGATGACATCAAGGAACTGCTGAATCAAGGACTCCTGGAGCTCATCCTGCCTTTTTAAACCAGTTGTGTTTTGTTACTCAAGGGAAAACCATCCTGACATGGGACCTTTTATAAAAGAACTCTCTCTCTTTTTAAAGTCTCTGACTACTTTTTTAGAGTATTTCTGGTTCCATTAAAGGTTGTCAGCTGTCACTTCTTGTTCTCTGAAAGGATATTATGATATAAATAATAAATGGAGTTCTGGAATAGGTCATTAAATCTGGGCTCTCCTGCTTATTATCTGTGACTGAAAAAGAAAATCATTTAAACTGAGTCTCAAGATTTTTTTAAAATCAGTAGTACCTAATAGAAAAACTGTATTATCACTATCACATTGCCATTTAATTAACATTTATGAATTACTATAATATTTTAATAGTAAATAATACTTTACAATCCTGAGAAATTATAACATTCTTGAGGGAGGGGTATATTTTTTTAAATTTATTTTTTAATTACATTTGATATACAATATTATATTAGTTTCAGGTATACAACATAGTGATTAGACATTTCTATATCTCACAAAGTGGTCACCCCAATAAGTCTAGTACCCATCTGACACACTATATAATTATTACAATATTACTGACTATATTCCCTATGCTGTACTTCACATTGTTTTAAATCTTTATATCCCCAATGCCAACCACAGATTAGGCACTCAATTATTTGAAAAATGAATTAATGAAATATTAATGGTGTAACTCAGAACATCATTACCATCACATTATCACCAAATTTCCCAGAATGATGTTCATGTATATAATAAGGCTTTAATTTTTAGCTAGAGACTTCAATTTTCACATAAACTTATTTAAAAAGTCCCCCATTAAGTTATTTTTCTTACAGCAGGCAAACCTTATGTATGTATTGCCCAAGGTCACATTCTCAAGCTGACAACGGAACTGTCCATTTAAATCTCACCTGTTAAACCAGCAGGATATGAACTTGGCACCACTGAGAATGAGGAAGATGCTCCTCCAAAAGGTGTCACCCCTGAGGATCCTCCAAATGGTGTCATGGAAAGACTGCTAAAATTAACAGATGTTCCCTTTGCTGAAGACGATGGTGTCGCTGCAGTGTGCTCTGCTCCATAATGGCTGACACTTGTATTGACAGGTTCTGGAGTGTTTTCTGATGTATATTTAATGGCTGGACTTTTGTTCTCTTTACTTTTAATGCAGCCCATTATCAAATCTACAAAAGTAATAAGGTAAATACTTTGAGAAGCAATTAACATAAAGGATACTTCAGAAAGATGCAATTAAAAAGTTGACTTTAAACAAGGCATTTTTCTCCTGCAAAAAACTAGCATTAACAAAACCAACAGAATTAAAAACCAGAAAGCTAAAAATGAAGTCTCTTCCCCTCATTTATCTTTATTACCATTCTGCTAAAGCATCATTCGAATCATGTCATTCTCCAGCTCTACTACCTTTAATGGTCCAGTGACAACATGCCACAGTATGCAGGGAAAATCATGGGCTCTGAAGTCAAAGCGACCTAAGTTTGAATCTTGGCTTTCTACTTATTAGGGGAGTGATTCAGTTATACTGTTTAACCTCTCTGCACCTCAGTTACTTGAAAAAGAAAGACAGTACTATCACCTACTTCATAAGGTTTTCTATGAGGATTAACTTAAGTTTATGACAAGTTCTAGACAATACCTGGGACATAGCAGGTACTAGCAAATACAGGTTACATTCCTTCTACCTATACCAGCACTGTGTAATAGAAATATAATCCAAGCCACAATATAACTTAAAATTTTCTAGTAGCCACATTAAAAAAACAGGTAAAATTAATTTTAATAATATATTTTATCTAACCCAATACATCTAAAATATAATTATTTCAACATATCAATATAAAAGTTTTCAATGAGATGTTTTATATATTTTTTGTACTAAGTCTTAAAAATCACAGACCTAAATATCATCAAAATGTCTTCCTTTCAATATTTCCTTTATCTTCGGGTAAAGAAAGAAGTCATTGGGGGCCAGATCAGGTGAGTAGGGAGGGTATCCCAATACAGTTATTTGTTTACTCGATAAAAACTCCCTCACAGACCGTGTGCCGTGTGAGCTGGTGCATTGTCATGATGCAAGAGCCATGAATTTTTGGCGAGAAGTTCAGATCGTCTAACTTTTTCACACAGCCTTTTCAGAACTTCCAAATGGTAAACTTGGTTAACTGTTTGTCCAGTTAGTACAAATGCATAATGAATAATCCCTCTGATATCAAAAAAGGTTAGCAACAAGTTCATGAACTTAATTGTCAGACCTCCTCTCCCGCTCCCCTCCAATACCTAGAAATGGAAATGCTTGGTCATATAGTTACCAAAGTTACCATAAGAAGCTGCTAAACTGTATTCTATGGTGGCTGCACCATATTCCATCTTTACCAGCAATGAATGTGAATTCCTGTTGCTCCACATTTTCCATAACACTTTCTAAGTCTTTCTTTTCTCTCTCAGAAACCCATCATATGTTTACTTGGGTTTAGATATGATCCAAATAGCCTGTACAACTCTTTTACATTTTATCCTAGTTTCTAAAAAAGCTTCAACAATTGCAATCTACATCAAAAGGTAGCTCACAATATAAAATGCATACAGCTGAGTTGATGTTACACACATTTATAACACGTATATAACCAAAATCATTCTAATTGCAAATAACCACTGATTTCTAGTTCACTGACAGGAATAATAGTCAGGACCGAGGTAACTGCCAAACATCTTTATAACCATTTAATTTGCCAAAAGCTATCAAGAACATTTCAACAAGTCTGTCCTCTAAAACCCAAAATTATTTCTACACTTAGGTTAGATTCAATGGCAATCTAAGACTGCATAGTTACTAAGACACCATGATAATTCTTTCATATGTGTAATGTTTCAATGGGTGTTTCTCACTCTTTCAAAATCCCATTTTAAAATTTAAGGCATAAATACACAAAATTCAGCCTCACTGGTGTTCAGGTATGGGTTTTTGACAAATGCACAGAGTTGTGCAACCAATGCCTCAATGAAGAGAAAGAACAGTTCCATCACCCCTCATGATGCTTCCATGCAGTTGTGTAGTTGACCTCTGTTCCCAACCCTAGGCAACCACTTATCTACTTTCTGTTAGAGTATCACCAGATACCATACAGTATGTAGCTTTTTTATTTTGGCTTTTTTTTGTTAAGCTTACACATCTGAGATCCACCCATGTTTTTGCAGGCACCAGTTAATTCCTTTTGACTTCTGAGTAATATTGCATTGTATGCATATGCTGTCATTCATTTATTCATTCTCCAGATGAAGGAGATCTGAGTGGTTTCCAGTTTTTAAAAATAAGAAATACAGCCACTATGAACTCATACATATAGGTTTTTATGTGAACATAAGTTTTCATTTCACTTAAGTAAATACTTAGGAGTGAAACTGCTGGGTTGTATGGGAAGTATATGTATAACTTTATAAGAAACTGCAAAACTTTTCCAAAGCAGCTTTAACACTTTACATTCTCACCATCAAAATGAGAGTTCCAGTGGCTCCACATCCTCATCAGCATTGTCACTGTCAGTTTTTCTAGGTGTGTAGTTCTATTGTTGTGCTTTTAGTTTACATTTCCCCAATGACTAAACACCTACTATTAGGCATCTTTTCATGTGCATATTTGCTACCCATATCTACTTTGGTAGAGTATCTGTTCAAATCAGTTTTCTAATTGGGTTGTCTTCTATTATACTCTGTAAATAATAACATTTACGACTATAATACTATTATACTCTACATATTCTATATTCAAGTTGTCAGATACATGTATTGTAATATTTTCTCCCAGTCTACAGTTTGCCTTTGCATTTTTATAATAGTGTCCTTGGACATGATTTTTAATTTTGATGAAGTTCAATTAAGAATTTTTAATTTTATGGTTTGTGCTCTATGCACCCTATTTGAGAATTCTTTGCCAAAAGAATTTCTCCTATGCTTTCATCTAGAAGTTTTAGGTTTTTACATCAGGCCTACTGAGCCATTTTAAGGGAATTTTTGTATATGCTATGAAGTTTGAGGTTCAATATTTTAAAACTGGATATACAGTTCTTCAACTACTAGCTGCCAAAAAGACTGTCCATTTCTCACTGAATTATCATGGTACCTTTGTCAAAAATCAATTAATCATATATTAATTGGGTCTATTTCTATGCTAATAGTCCCATTGTTTTATACATCTATGCTTATGTCAATTATCACAATGTCTTCACTACTAAAGCTTTACAGTAATTCTTGAAATTAGATAGTTTAAGTCCTCCAGTCTTCTCATCTTTTTCAAAATTGCTTTGGATACTCTAGGGCAGGAGGGTAACAAATTTTTTTCTGGAAAAGGCCAGGGAGTAAACATTTTAAGTTTTGCAGAACAAATGGTCTCTGTCACAAGTACTCGACTCTGCCATTTTAGTGTGAAAGCAGCCATAGACAATACATAAATACATAAGTGTGGCAGTGTTGAATAAAACTATTTCCAAAGACACACAGTGGGCCAAATGTGGCCTGCAAGTTGCAGTATGCCAAACCATACACTGGGGTCTTTGCATTTCCACACAAATTTTAGAATCAGTTTGCCAATCTCTACACGGAAAAGCCTGCTGCGATTGTGACTGGAATGATATTCCATCTTTAGATCAATTTGGGGAGAACTGACATCTTAAAAAATACTGATCTCCTTCCTGATTCATCCATCTATTTGGGATTTCAACATTTTCTCTCAGCAATGTTTTGTAGTTTTCAGTGTACACATCTTGTCCAATTTTTGTTAAATTATCTCTAGACATTTCATGGTTTTTTGAAGCTACTATAAGTGGTATTATTAATTTCTAATTGTTAATCACATATAAGTAGATATTAATAATATATATATATATATATATATATATATATATAAAACCTGATATTTATACCTTGTATCTTGTGACCCTGCTAAACTCATTAGTTCTAGTAGCTTTTTTGTAAGTTCTGCAGGATTTTCTACATTCAACATCATATATACAATTAAACACTGTTTCATTCTTTTCTTTCCAAGATGAATGCCTTTCTTCCCCTTGTCTTACTGCACTGGCTAGCATCTCTAGTACAATGTTGAATGGAAGTGCTGAGAGGGAATATCTTTGCCTTGTTCCTTATCTTAAGGGGGAAAGCATTCAGTCTATCACCATTAAGTATATTAGCTGTAAGATTTTTTTTTTTTTAAGATTTTTATTGGGGAACTGGGGGATGCGAACAGCACCAGGAAATTGGGGGAAGGGGAACAGACAAGTTGCTGTCGTTTTGTTCTTCAGTCTAGTTGTGGAGGACGTTGCTTCACTGGCCCAAGTTTGCACCATCATTCGCCAGCTTCTGGACGGCCGCTCACGCTGGCTGCTGGCTACACACTGTAGCCCATGGCAACCCACTGCCACAGGGGCTGCAGCCTATGCCGTCAACAGTGACTCATGGCATCCCCTCTCCAGGTTGAGCTGTTTTTCAGCATCTTAGCTGTAGAGGGCAGTGTCACTGGCCCTCATATGTGGGATCTGAACCGGGGCCCTCTGGCATCCCAAGCCAGTGCTTAACCAATGCGCCACTAGGCCGGCCTTGTAAGATTTTTTGTAGGTGACCTTCATCAGGCTGAAAAACCTTTTCTTCTAATTCTTTGCTGAGAGTTTTTATCATGAATGGGTGTCAAATACTTAAATTTTTTCAAATACTTTTCTGTATCGACTTATTTAATTACATGGGTTCTTTTCCTTCATTCAAATGATATAGTGAATTACACTAATTGATTTTTTAATATTAACCCTATGTTGGCACTTTTGCTTTCTTGGAATAAAACCCATTTGGTCATGGTACATTACCCTTTTTATACAGTCCTGAAAACTAATATTTTGTTCAATATATTTATGTCTACAGTCAAGAGGCGTATTACTCTTTAGTTTTCTTGTAATTTCTTTGTCTGCTTTTGGCATCAGGGTAATATTGACCTCATGAAATAAGCTGGAAATGTTCCCGTCCTCCTCTATTGTTTTAAAGAGTTTAAGGTTGGTATTACTTCTTCCTTAAATGTTCTAAAGAATTCACCAGTGAAGCTATCCGGGCCTGGAGCTTTCAATTACAAATTTAACATCTTTAACATCAGGGCTACTCATATTCTCATTTTGTCTTGTTTATTTTG